AATCCTTACACGGCCTATACTAACCTATCACTAAGCACACTAGAGGCAAAGGTGACTTCACAGTGGGCAAGTCTATTCGCCAAGGCCCCTCATATGAGAACATGGATTGAGTAACCGGTGCTGGACCTTGAGAACATGTACTATATATACTATTGTTAAGCTTTGCCAGTATGAAATATATGTTTGTATATGTTTGAAATCACTTAAACATTCTAGACTGTTAGACTCTGTTGACTATTATGCAGTTGTATTATTACACATTTTACCGAATGGAAGTTACTCAACATTTGTACTGCTATACCTTTAAATTTAATTCTGCTGCGAACTTTTGTAACCTTGATAAGAATGAATACTGTCTGTTTGTCCTTAATCCAATGTCCTTGTTTTTGCCTTGTGCAGTTATGCAGAAAAAGGATGTGTGACCAGAGGGTCTTGGTATGTAGAAGTGTGATAGAGAACTGTGTTGAAGGTCTCAAAGTCTGAAAAGCAGGATGTAGCAGCAAAGAGAAACCAATATGAGTTGTTTGAAGTCTTTGTTTTCTTAAAAATATAATAGATGCATGTAAGGAACATACAGTAAAACTTGCATAAGACTTATCTTTATAAATTGTATAATTGCCTAAATCGTACACAAAAAGACTTATATGTCAACAATTTCATTTCAATGAAATACAAATAAATATAATTAAAATATTGTGACAATTTAAGTCAACAACTGGGATAGAAACTTTGTTGTTTTGTTTATTGTTTGAGCAGAGCATACAGCTGCTAAACCTCACAATTAAATGATAATTTGACATGTGCCAGAGAATGTTACCAGGCTTGCATCTTGAACTAAACAAGTTCTAGATATACATCTGGATCAGCCTGAAACAGCTGGTAACACTTTCGCATCTGAGACAGAAGATTGTGGGTTCAACCTTGTTAGGATTATGAATTCATATAATCTAGGCTAATTCTTGGGGTGTGCTGTATTGTTAGTGGTGCTGTTCTTGGGAGGAGATGTTCAATTGAGTTCCTATCTGTTTTGAAAGATGTTAAAGATCCCATGGACCTACTCAAAAAGAGAAAGCAGTTTCTCCTGGTCCTCGCCAACAATTCCAAAATAAAATTGGTCATTCACTTCATGGCTGTTTGTGTGACACTGCTGTGTGCATATTTGCTGCTGTGTTTGCCTGTAACATATCCGGTTTGCCTACTAATATGCTTTACAGTATATCCTGTGAAACTTTCAGAGATGTCCTCCTGACATGACAAGTGCTATATCAAATGCAATGATTATTATTGTTATCACCTCACCATCACCATTGTTCACCTATGAAATACACAATCACTGAACTTTACAGTAAAATCATATGAAGCATTTTGAAACATCTCAACGACATGATAAAATGCAATATCAAATGCAAAGATTATTATTGTTTTTTAAATAAAGAAGTGTTGTTATGGTCTAGGTGTATTCCATCTGATAAACTTTTTNATTCAGAACAGAATGACAACACTTATAGCCCTATAATGCCAACAATCTGTTTTTAATAAGATCAGCCTGCAAATCTGGGATCTAATTAAATTCCCAATAAAATCTAGTTTGTTAGGTGCTTGGTACATCACCTGTTTCACCCTGTTCCCAAAAAGCGTATAACAAATCTCCTCCAACAAGGTACAGGTTAACAGTATTATCATTAATGCATGCTTCAGCAGAAACTGATTTATTTCAGTAATGTAAAAAAAATGATTAATGCAAGGCTTTGGTTAGCCAGTGATTAGCAGTGATTGACAGTGACTGTCGCAAACCCAGTTCATTCATGTTGCATTAAAACCCAGGAACTGTGACCTTCATTGCATGTGTAAAATATGATTGCTGTAAAACAAAAACTATTCCTCCCCAGAATAGCACTAGCAGTGCATTGTTTTGGCTCAGTAGTGAATCAAGTATTATTCAAATTCATAACTAGTCAAAGGAATTCTCTCTCAGCTATAGATATGCTCATCTTTGAGCCAAGAAACTCATGTAACAACTTGAACTTTTATATAGCACCCTTCACACAAGATAGCACTGTGGAGCACTGGCATATATGTATTCCTCATATATATCATAGCATCAATAAGACCACAAGCAATCAATAACTTTGCATAACATCACTACAGGGATGAGAAATGCAATATTTCACAACATTTAAGAAAAAGCCCACTTTAACCCCAATTAGTTTCAACTGTAATCAACTTAATAGTAAATGGATTCCAATTACACCAATCGACTAAATGCTATATTTTTACACCTGCTAAAAAACACTGAAAAGCTTGGAGGGGGAAATTCTGATTAACTAATACATTTCCAGCATTGCCCTCGCTTACATCAGTTATTGCTTTAAGATTTTACAAGCTTTGTATTATTGTGTTATGGCAAGCCAACATACTTCAAGGACATACAAATATTGTGAAAATAGATCTGATCAACTGCTGCTCAAATAATTTCAACTCTATTGGCACTTTTCTTTACTTTGTCCTATAAATATCATTAATACCATATGGAACAAAACTAAACACACTTGAGAACTGGGTAACTTAAGGTCATGCATTTAAATCAACTGTGAAAATAACTTCATGGCTTGTGACTTATTTAAAATGAAAACCAAAATAAATTATAGTAATGAAAAAGTACCAAGCACTGGATTTCCAAAAATCAATTTCATGACTTACTTGTAAAGCAAGGTTAACCACTATATCTCATTTTTATATATTTGGGCTTGTTCAGAATAAGAATGTCAATAAAGTGAAGTTCACTTAATGGCTGTTAGTGGGACTTACTGGAATAAAAATAAAAATGCACTTAAAAGTTACTTAAACCACCCATAAAATCCACATCCTTATCAAATCTCATAAACCAGGTTCGTTATCAAACCTTATAAACCCATCTCCTCACCAAGAAGCGTATAAAAAGAACCTTTTAATCTTCAAACCTTTCTGGCATCTTAAAATGATCTTCCACAGGGTTATATTGGACAGATCTTTTTGGAAAGTTGGAGAGCATATGACATAATACTTCAGACTACTAAGCACCTTTCAACATTTGTGATAATACACGATAAGACTGAGTCAATGGCTTGGCTGTGAATGAATTCTTCAGTTGAGTCTGATTCTAGGCTCTCAAGCCTGACAGAGACCCGAATTTCACTTGCATCTTTGTCTGGAGAGGATGAATTGAGCTGCCTAGCAAATTGATTTCATTAAGGACCGCATCAGCTCACAATATAACAACATAAAGGAATCAAAGCAACCTTGATAACAACATATTAGAGTATGTCTTGTATTGGTATTTCCACATATACCAATAAGAACTATCCCCTAAAATAGGAGCTATAAATGTCATGTTGTCTCTTAGGATTTTACTGAGGGCAAACAATCAATTTTGACTGATGTTTCAGCCCATGTTAAAAGAGATGACTATTTGTGTTTCCTTAATACCACAGAACGAAAATCTGACTGGGAGCTTTAAATGTTTAAATTTGGGTGTTAAAAAAGTAAACTAGCTTGTCAACTGACAATGCTACAAAATAACATGGTTACATTGTCTTATTTCTATAATCCTTTAAAAACTGAAATAAGTAAGTTATTAAGAGTAAGTAAGTATTAAGAGGCCTTTGCATGAATAAATTTTCTGCAGTTCTTTTAATCGACTTGAAATATCCATATTTTAAAACTTGCAAGGAAAATTCATCACTAGTTAGGACATCCCAGTGACAGGAATCCATAGCTTTAAGGTAATTTTAAAAGACTTTTGATTGAGTGTGACAGAAAAGATCAGTTGGCTTACTGCACCAGCACAATATGTTTCAGAAGATTGTCAGCATCATTCAGATTATGAACTAGGGTATGAAAATTGTTGTAAGAATTAGTAATGTATTCACAGACTGCTGTGCTGTACGAATGAATGAAAGCTGTGTTTTTGTCACTGGATCTGTCCACTCTTGTCTAAATAAAATAACATGGAGAAGGTGTTATTATCTTACATTTTACGGAGTTTTTTAAAAAAACAGAAAGATGAAAATATATGAGCAGAATGTGTGAGACTACTAAGAAGGAATAAATAAAAGTCCAGCTAAATAAATCATTTGATTTGCAATGTTCAGCATTAGCAATCCAGGTTTTCTCTCTTTTATTCTTACCTCTACTAATGACAGCACAGCCAGCCTGGGTCATCGGCAGGACCTGGAAGGGCAGCCAGTCACTGGGTGCAGGGAATCATCCCTTTTAAGCCAAAGCCCCAACAGGTAGGGTGGTCCTAGCTGGACAAGCAGCGGGAAAGCTTGCCGGACAGCAATATCAATGGCAAGCTATGGGGTTTTATCTGGTTAGACTCCAGCAGTACCCCAACGCACACTCTGGGATCACCAAGCCTTGGCTCTTGCCAACCTGTGCCTAATACTTTCTGGAATTAGGTAAACAGAATGCATCCCTCCAGGGAGAGAGTGCGCATTCCATTACAATAATCTATCTCTGGAATTTCCATGTGTAGTTGGTATGCATGGACTTCTCAGTTTGGATTGGATACTTCAGTCTGGATACTGTCCTGAAGGACCGCGCTGAGAAGGGGCGAAGGGCACTCTGGTCATGCTCATCCCTCTTCAAGGACAGCAAGGTCCCAATGGAGATCAACCTTGTGGCGTACAAGACCTGTGTGCAAATATCCCTTCTTTATGGATCTGAGCTCCTGGCGATGCAGCAGAGAGGCTTCCTCCAACCCACCTGCAAAGTCCAGGATCAAACAGTGAGCTGGATTTGTGGCAAACACAGGAAGCAGCTACAATGACCTGTCACTAAGCACCCTGGAAGTGTAGGCGGCTTCACAGCAGGCACATATATTTGTCAAAGCCCCTCACATGAGGACCTGGATTAAGCAGCTGGTGCAGAGTAAGTCTGGAACGCAACATTGGACTTGGATCTCAGGAACATCAAGTTGGCTGTCCCGTCACAACCTGTCATGTAAATGTCCGCCCACCATGCTGAAGGCCGATGCCCACCTGATAGGTGATGAGGTAACTCTGAGGCTTGGGGCAACAGCTGCAAGAAGACGTTACCTGGAGTCCTTGTTCGTGAACACATGTTCATACATCCAGCACCTGGAATCCACCTTGATTGGCCTGCAGAAAGACAAGCAGCTGCTTCTTAAACTCTGCACCTCTATTTGGTGGAAACGTTGCTCAATAGGAAGGGATGTATGCCTGAGCTGCACACAGGAAGACGGTGGCAATGCTCCCCTGCATTTCATGCTGAGATGTGTTGTCCACCTGGAAGTTCGTAGGGAGTTCTGTGTCGCTATCATCCACCTAGTGAGGGTTCAAACCCATGCTTGTCTCACGTCGAATGACCAACTAGTGACCTTCTTGGGGGGGGGGGGGGGGGGCGAGAGGTAAATGGGGTCTCCTTGGAGCTGAACTGGTTACAAGGTGACATTCCTGGCAATACAATGTCAGAATGGAACCAGCCCTCTGTGGCAGTCTTGGTAGTCCTGTTCCTGAGCCAGGCAGGTCTGGAGTATTCAAGGGCACAGTTGATGATAGCACAGCCAGCCTGGCATTGGCAGGACCTAGAAGGGCGGACCAGTCACTGGGGGCAGGGAGTCATCCCATTCAGTTCCTCTTAACCCTGCAAGCCAAAGCCCTAATGGGTAGGATGCTCCTCACTGGACAAGCAGCGGGAAAGCTTGCCGGACCACAATATCAATGGCAAACTATGCGGTTTTAGTTGGTTAGATTCCAGCAGTATCCCAATGTAACCAGTGAGGTCCCCAAGCCTTGGCTCTTGCTCGCTGACCAAAATAACATCTCTCTTACTAATAACCTGGGTTATGAACCACATACGTTGTGAATAAAAAAACTCCACAACAATAGTAGCACATCTACAGAGATTAGGATCTGGATAACTGGCCATGACAGACTCTCAATCCAATAGGACAGATGGTAACTTTAACTGCCATTCTTCCTATGGTTACATGTAAGCATTCATCATACCAATTTTTTTCTAAGTGGTGCAATTAATAAATAATAATCTCTGTATTATCTATCGTTGTTTACTTTTAAACACCTCTACTACCTAAACAGGTGATCGAATCCAACCATATTAACGCAGAATGTGAATCTATGTTGATGGATTTAGAAGAATTTCCTCGAGTTGGGGAACATTGGAGGTAAATCAGGAAAGGCAGAACCGAGTGAAGACAAAGACGTTGGAACAAAGAGGGGACGAAAACCTTGGAAATGCAGAGGATCGACTGGAAAAAGACACACAGTGAAAGGATTGGCTTCGCTTTGCAAAATGTTGGTTGTGCTCTCATGATCCCCTGAAATGAAATAGTGCATTATAATTGAAGTCACATTATAAACGTACAATTGCATCATCAAATATAACATTTCACTTAGTCGCTCGGAAGCGCACCACAGCAATTGAGTGACAAGAGTTTCGCCGTGAGAACCTGAACCCATTTCACCACTGTTCACACTCTCCTCGCCCATCACAACGGTGCATCACGAAGCGCTGGGGGGTTGCAACCGGCGAACACGGGCAACAACAACAACAACAAGATTCCATTTATAAAGCGCCTTTCACGTCAGGAGGACGTCCCAAGGCGCTGCACAGTTGGGTCAGTCAGTGTAATAACACACCGGGACCAGGAGGAAACTCGCTCTGACACGCAGCGACGTGGTTAATCCAGTGATTGCGAGGAGGTGACTGTGCGCCCGGGAGCTGTGGGGCAGCCGCATGTCCCCGAGCTGCTGGTGGGCAGTGCGTGGTTCAGATGGCCCCAAACCACAGGGACATGGGCTGTTCGTGATCCTCACACCTCAACAGTCCCATCACTTTCCTCTGCCCTGGACATAACTACACGTTTAACCCCGTTGTGACGCCTCGGGGTGTGTTTCCCTGGAGACCCATTGTTACCACAGGTTTAGATGTGTGACAGGAGACATCACCTTTTGCACTTCGAATAGTATTGCACCCACAACAAGTGGGCAGTGTACCCCAACCTCTCACACCCCCCCCTCCTCCTCCCCCTTCCTAAAGCACATGATGATTCCAGCCTCTGAAACCCTTCTGAAGTATGATAACCCAGTGCTGCTCACCAAGAACGTCGGAAAGGCAACAGGGAAGGCAAGTCCGCAATCCGTGTGTGTGTACCTGTGCTTTAGATGTAATGCGCGCGTATATGATTTAAACCATCGTTTTGGAGTCTCTCTTTTTTTTTTTCTTTGAAAAAAACAAACACTGTTATTCCGGCAAAGTTGTCATTTAGAACTTTTTCCCCAAGACAAAGCCAGAAAAAAAAAACAGGATTTGTTCTCGAATCGTCAAGTGCAACGCTCAAGCCACTGTTACTCGTTTATATTAATGATGTGTTGATGCAAAAAATGAGCCAAATCAAAGACAATTCATTTGAAAATTCTGCATTCGTGATATTCTATTCATCCATGCATTGACTTGACTGACCAAAATTTACAGGACGTTCATACGACTGATGTCCCACTGCAATGGAATATAGAAGTCTCTTATGTAGCATTTTATTATATAGAATATAGAAACAGGAAAACTCCATTCAACTCATTGATGGATAAATTGAATAGAGTGGGTGACAATGCACAGCTTTGCCTCACCCGCTTTCAAGAGGGATAGATGGGCTCAGTGAGCCACTCTCGACCATTACACAGATCTTGGAGCTGCAATATAAGTTAGAGTTTCGGTGTAATCGGAAAGACAGCGAGGGTGTTGCATGTTTTTTTTTGACAACTGGTGGCTTGTACTTTTGCTTACATTTACCTAAATTTAATCATTTAAATTTAGTTTAATGATTTAACAAATAGATGATACTCAATGTCAACACTGGTTATGCTTAAGGATGAAATTACATTGGCCCAAAGTGAAACAACACTTAATTCCTGAGCATTATCTTTCATTAAAATGAGCCCAGAAAGTGAACTATTAATGGTAAACATAGCTCCACAAACTGCCAAAATAGCTTAAGATGATCTTTTTCAAATTACCTAAAGGCTATTAATCTGTTTGGTTCACACAGGCAATATTTCGAGCAACAACACCAAAGCAATGTGCCATTTTAGCAACAAAGGCACAAGAGAATATGGCAAAGGAGTCGTTGGAAAACATTTTAAATGCAATCTTACCTCCAATGTAAGTAGACTGAACAGTGAGTTTTATAAAAAAAAGTAAATAAATAAGCTCAGTTCTATTTGTTTATCCATAATTTATATGGATTTTCAAAAGGTGTTTAATAAAATGCTACATAAGAGACTTCTAAGCAAAATCGAAGCCCACAGTGTTAAAGGGACAGTGGGGGCACAACTTCCAAATTTGTAGATGATACTAAGCTAGGAAAAGTAGTAAACAGTAAGGAGGATAGTAGCAGATGGCAAATGAATATAGACAGACTGGTAAAATGGGCAGACACTTGGCAGGCGAAGTTTAATGTGGAGAAATGCAAAGTGATGTATTTTGGGAGGAAGAATGAGGACAGGCAAAATAAGCTGATGGTACAATCTTAAAAGGGGTGAAGGAACAGAGAGACCTGGGGGTTCATATAAGTCATTCTTTGAAGATGGCAGGACAGGAAGATAAAGCTGTTAAAAAGCATATGGGATACTCGGTTTTATAAATAGCGGCATAGAATACAAAAGTCAGGAAGTTATGATAAACCTTTATAAAACACTGGTTAGGCCTCAGCTAGAGACTGTGTTCAGTTCTTGGCACCACAAGACATTGGAGAGGGTGCAAAGGAGATTTATCAGGATGGTACCAGGAATGAGGTACTTCAGTTATGAGGAAAGGCTAGAGAAGCTAGAATTACTCTCCTTCATGCAGGGAAGGTTAAGAGGAGACTTAATAGAAGTTATAAAAATTATGAGGGGATTCGATAGGGTGAACAAGGAGAAACTATTTCCACTGGCAGGTGGGTCGGTAACCAGAGGACACTGATTTAATATAGTTGTTAAAAGAAATAGGGGTAGGTGAAGAGTTGTTCAGATCTGGAATGCATTGCCTGAAATGGTTGTGGAAGTCAATAACAGCTTTAAAGAGAGAAGTATAACAACAACAACAACAACAACAACAAGATTTCATTTATAGAGCGCCTTTCACGTCGGGAGGATGTCCCAAGGCACTGGACAGTTGGGTCAGGACCTGAGCATGGGGGAAATGGTCAGGGTGAGGGGAGGGAAGTGAGGGAGCGAGGAAGGGGTAGAGAGTCGAGAGGGGAGCCGAAGGCACAGTCAAAGAGAAAGGTCTTGAAACCAGCCTTGAAGGAGGAAAGGGAGGAAGCAAGGCGAAGGCACTGGGGGATGGAGTTCCAGAGCCTAGGGGCTGAGAGGCTGAAGGCTTGGCCACCGATGATAGATAATTATTTGGGAAGGATAAGTTTGCAGGGTTATGGGGAGTGAATGGGAGAGTGAGAATGATTTGAGTATCTTTTCAAAGAGCTGACACAGATACGATGGGCTGAATGGCCTCCTTCTGTGCTGTACAATTGTATAATTCTATTATTTGCTAGTGTGGTGGAGTGTTAACTCTACAACAACAACTTGCATTTATTTAGCGCCTCTCAGGCGGGTTGATCCCCAGCACTCAGGAGAGTGGTGGCTCAATGCATTGGTGTGAAGGCATAGACATGAATGCTTTACATAGGTTTATGGAAATGGGACGCAAGAAGGTGTGAGGGGGAGGGTGGGGAAGAAAGGAAAGTCACCCTTGAATGAGTTTGTGTCTCCCTCAAACTCATTCAGATCAACATTTTACTTCTTAATTCAAAGAAACAGAAATCATTGAATTATTGTAAATCTTTTTTATATTTAATGAGGTGCTCAATGCTCCAACACAGTTTGTTTCTAGAATGACATTTCTGTATGTTGATGGCAATTCTAATAGGATTGCTGAAGAAATACTGGAAATTAGACTTTACAATTTCATAGAAGTTAAAACCAAGCTAGCTGAGTGTGGTTACAAGATCATAATAATAATAATCCTTACATTTGGGATAGTGCTCTTAATGTTGGGAGGATGGCCCAAAGCATTCCACCGGATATACTGTAAAGTGTAACATGGCAGCAAATTTGCACACAGCAGGTATCCCACAAACAGCCGACTTGTGGCAGTTTAGAGAATTTTAAGCAGTCGTCTCAGCAATCTGATCTGTGTGAGTAGAGTATAGCTGTGCACCACCTAGCCATATCAGTAATAAGTGGTACTCGTTATAATTTGGATTTTAATACTTTCACATGCATTAAGACTTATAGTAACTAATAACACTTGTTGTAACAAGCAAGTAACTTCACAGCACTGAGGATATAGCCAACCATGTTGTCACTGAGTGTATTGTGGGTGAAGATGGTTACAAGAGTTGGGAGGAACATCTTTGGCAATGTTGGCCATGAATAGGATCTCCCATTACTGTTCCACATTGCCAAAGGGTAAATGTTAATGATCAATGGAATTTTCATTACCAAATCAGGGAACTTTCATGTTTGATTAGCTGAAATGGACCGAAGGGTGTACTCTAATAATCTTGTTAATAAAATACATTTGTGGTCAACATCCTTCTGTGAAACGTATACACCAATGTATTTGTTGACATCTTTTTGTGTGTTTCTTTTATTTTATGTCCTTTAAATTATTATTTTTACCTTTTTTGTCATTGGATTTTTATCATTGTTTTCCCTTGGGTTGAGCTTTTCTGGTACACTACTTCCATTGTTTCCTTTCCTTATTGTGACATTCTCATCTTTTTACCCTATTTCTAATTTTGTTTCCCTTATTTTTCCCTCTCTCATTTCAAATTGTCATGTTGTGGTCATAATAGGTCCTTCCATTTGACCTAGCACCTCGACGTAGTTGTACTGTTTCAACCTTCACAGGATCTACTGTGACCCATTGTGTTAGTGGCTTGCTGAATAGTTGCATTAATAATAATACATATCATATAACATCTTTCATGTCTTTGAATGATCTCAAAGTGTATTAACAGATATACTGTATTTTGTAAGCAACGTAGTACCCAATTTGCACACAGTAATGTCACACAAACCACCATGAAGTGTACCACCAATTATATTTCAGGGTTTGTTGGCCAGGACACTAGGCAAAACACCCTTCTATTTTCAAATAGTGCCATGCGATTTTTAACATTCATCTGAACAGACAGACAGGACCTTGGTTTAACATCTCATCCAAATCATTGCACAATGCAGAGCAGCCTCAGCACTATATTGAAGTGTCAGCATTGATTATATATGAGTTCCAAATCCTGATGTGAATCTTAAACCCATAACCTTCTGACTCAGAGGTTAGAGTGCTATGAATTGAACCAGGCTGACACACAATGCAGGTCATGGAGCAGTAGTTTATGGAGAGATACAGTTTTAATATTTATTTTTCTAGTGAATGGACGGAGGGTGGACATCTGTGGATTCAAAATGTATCTACCACTCCAGCTACCCGAATGGACGTGATTAATTTGCAGGACCATCTGGACAGGAAATTGCAACAGAGGCAAGCTCGTGTGACTGGCATCTGTCCCATTCGAAGGGAATTATATGCACAGTGTTTTGGTAAGAGATTTCTCCTCTTAAAAATAGAGCATTTTGAGGTCTTTTCTCACCAAAGTATCTGAGTCATTCGATTGAGATTTGAAATTATTCAACCCTTAAAGCTCGGGATTGTCTTTTCATGTGTTGCACAAAATAACCAAGGGTACCAATTACACCATACTGTATTTCACTGTATAAATGTATCCATCAGGGCACCCTGACATAAGTATAGAAGGAAACATGCCTGAAGTGTCATGGGTATGTGGGGGTGAGGCAGGGCATAAAGTCTCTTAAAAAATATAAAAAATCATGCCATCAAGTTTATGCCTTCCACAGACAAAACAGAGTCTAATCTATTGCGACTCAGACCATCCAGTATCTCCCAGGGCAAGTGTTTTGTATTGCTCCCTGATCCCTAAAGGTATTCAAACTGAAAAAAAACTTTCAACATATTCATACTTCTCCACATCTCCAATATTCAACCCTGCTTATCTCTCCCCACCCCCAAGGAGGATAAATACCTGCCACTGTCTTTGTAAAAACCTTTGAGACATTCTCTCAACATGAAAACACTCTATTAATGCAAATTGTTGTTGGTGATAATTGAGTATTATTAGATTTAGTATTTGAGGTCATCTCTACCAAAGTATCTGAGACATTTAATTGAGACTTCAGCCCTTAAAGCTTGGGATTATGTTTTCCTGTGTTGCACAAAATAACAAACCTCTTATGTCTCCTGAGGTAACACATACCACTCTGTAGAATTCATTCCACCGTCTCAATGAAAATATTGCAGAATCAGTTGACTTAGAAAGGCAAGTCTTCATAGACCTTCTGACTCAAAACAAAATAGTAGTTGGGAATTTATTCAAGGCTTTGTTTAACCATTTCAGATATTACTTAGAAAAACTAATAATAATAAAATTATATTATTATTATAGAAAGCACTAATGTGTTATAATGCAGCATTATTTATGTGGAGTAATATTTGCTTTTGTATTGATTACTCTACAGATGAAATCATTCGGCAAGTCACCATTAACTGTCCAGAAAGGGGGTTGTTACTGCTTAGAATTCGCAATGAGATACTTATGACCTTTGCAGCCTATAATACTCTGTACGAAAGCAGTACAGCATTTGGCTTAAGGAAGGCTCTACAGGGAGACCTAGGGAAGCTTAAGTTGGTCAATAAGGTAAGTTGCTATAACAAAGGATACTCCGGCTTTGGTCAAATAATTGTCTTATATACATTTGACATCAACTTCTTTGTTTTATATATATATATACACACATATATATATAAATAAATGTCACTGTATATCAATTCTAGAATCCCATTTACCTTTTTATGTCCTTTTCTATCTTCAGTGTTGCATTTAAAAACATGCAAACATGCTCTCCCAGAACTGCCTGTTCCTCAATATAATAATAATCCTTGCATTTGATATAGCGCTTTTTACATCTTCTAGATGTCTCAAAGCGCTTCACAGAATATGCTGTAAAGTGAATTGACCATATATTTGTGGGCGAAACGCGGCAGCCAATTGCACACAGCAATGTCCCACAAACAGTTGTGGATTGAAAATGACCAATTTATTATTGTTTTTGTTTTTTGGAGGGATTATTATTAGGCGTGTGGAGTAAGGAAACTTGCCCAAGGTTTCGCCCTGCCTGGAATTGAACCCAGGTGTCTCGCTTGCAACAACAACAACAAGATTACATTTGTATAGTGCCTTTCACGTCGGGAGGACGTCCCAAGGCGAGTAATCTAACCACTGAAATACAGGAACTCCACAATATCAGAAGGAACCATACCATTTAGAGCATAGTTCCTTTCTGTGTTCTTTCCTAAAGCATACTTCTTCACATTTCTTGATATTCAACTGGATCTGCCTCTTATCTTTCCACTCTTTTAATCAGATAATATCCTCTTGCAGTTTCCACCATTCAATATCACATTTTCATAAGAGGCCGCAAAAGAGACGAGTTGAAACAACTGTGGCATATTATTGTATTCAACATAAATGGCTGGGTTGGATGAAGGCATGGGTGAAAGATAGACGGCAGATAGTAAAGGAAATGGAAGTTTCTGGGATTGGCTGGATGTCATTAGCAGTGGATCTGACCTGGGACCTCTATTGCTTTCCATTCACAGGTCGACACTGTTATAACATACATGGGTGTATTTATAGAGTGGGTGTCCTATGGACTGTAGTGCATCACACTTCTGGCTTCCAGTGCTGACTGGTTGGCTTTCCTACACAGAATGCCGACACATGATGCCTAGCATCTGGCAATATCCTAGCAACTGCTGGAATGCTCACAAGGGTGCATGTGCAGCATGTGGAAAATGAATTTAACTATTTTTCTCTCTGTTTCTCTCTGACTCTAACTCTGCATTTATATCAGATCATTGAATGAACATACTATATCTGAGGTTGCTGGTTCAAACATTCAAGATTAAAAAGTCTGTTGCTGTCTATGATGTGTGCATGTGCAATTGAAGATATTCTTTGAAACTTCAGAGCCCCTTTGCTTGCAGGAACTCAGTCCTGGTGTAGATCAGTGGACATGCAGTTGTCTGACATGTCGATATACTGTGTTCTCCTCTACTGAGAACAGCTACCTCACACAATGTGTGCAGGTTAGCAGAACAATGTTCTGAGGTTTGTAATGACTGTCAAAGCTACCTCTGCAGTTAAACAATAAAATATTCAAGATTAATTTATGTTATGCTTAATAGCATTCCTTGATAACAAACCTGAGTTGTGCAAACAGGGACTACTTCTGCTAAATGGAAATACATTGCACCAACCGGTGGGAACTCTACTTTAATGTAACGGGGGGAGAGCAGGGAAGTGGGATTGATTTGGATAGCTCTTTTCAAAGAGCCGATGGCCACAGCCACGATGGGTCAAATGGCCTCCTTCTGTGCTGTATAATTCTATGATTCTATGATAATCTACTTCCAATGCGTAGCTCCTAAGGATTAATGGGAAGGCTAATGGGGAGATTCTGCTTAAGGAACCAGATTAAGAGATACACTCTTAAACACTCTTATTATTAAGTTTGTAAAGCAAATGTGATTTGGTGAAACTCCAAAATCAAACTTAAATTACTTAACCACCTCCAAAGGATTTTGAACCTCATTTTCCCCCAAAATAGGTTTCTACTGTTGAGCTTGAAAAACGCAATCTTGAAGCTGAATATTTGGACCTAAAGGCCAAATTTGAAGCAGCAGAGAAACGAACAGGAGAGAAGAGAGACCTTGATGAAAAGAAACATGCGGAAGAAATTAATTTCCTTAAAAATACTAATCGGCAGCTGAAGGTAAGCAATAGAGAACATCTTTGCTGCAGGACCTGACAAGTAAATGGAATTATCTGATGGGATATTATTGTTAAGGATAGTCCACATTCACCATTTCTTATCTCTTGTATGAGTTTTGAGAATTATTTGCATCACATTTCAGCTGTTGGTTTTTATGCTCTTTTGATATAGAAGCTAATAATGATATGAAGGATTTGCTTGCAATTAGCAATATTGCTTTGACCACTGGTACTTGATAAGTACAGGGTTGAAGGGATTAATGGCCATTGCAAACTTGCATCCAGGACAAGAAGGACATGGATACTATTCTGTTGGAGTAGTTGCTCACTGACACAGTTCATTGCTGAGCAGATTTTTTGTATGCTTTATAGGATGCTTGACACCCAGAACTGGGATCCAATATTTATGCTGCTTCATTCACTTGGTGGGTTGGTTGGAAAAGTTCTGATTTGCACTTCTGGCACGGGAATTTTTGGAATATTTTGTGATGAATAAAGGCAACTTTAAAATGGATTGAATGTCCTTGTTAGGAAAGTTAAGTGAACTAATTTAAGATTAGATAGTTCTGAATTAGCATTTGGTAGGCCCACTCAGCCCTTCATCATTTTACTAACTGTTACCCTGAATAGTTCTCCTTTGGTGGTGGGTAAGTAGAGGTTCCTTGGGGGCAGATTCATTGTAATCCAAGGTGTTAATGATACTTGACCATCCTGAATTAGGGATGTTTATATGTCCTCCTTCCTGCAATTTCGGTCTGAACAAGTACTGTGAAACATATCAGGGTTTTGCACTAGCAAGCTGCACACTTATCTTTTAAAACAACTTTGATAAAATATTCTAATCTGTTACACGCCAATCTCAATTATTATACTAATGATGGGTTGATCCCAACGATCTTCAATAGGATATAATTTAAATGAACATGGAATGAGGAAAGACTTCATTCCATGAACTGTGTTAAATGACTTATTTAACACATTTCTTCCACACTTAAGGGTGAAAAAGTGATAACAGTTTAGTCATTCATCTCTACAAAATACTCAGACACTAGACTTTACATTGAATCCTTTTTGTACGCTTTGTAGAATGTTTGACACCCACAAGTAGGGCATTTGGCCTATGTATCCATGCTTTTGCTAGCTCCCCTCACTGGAGGTGTCTATTCTACTCACAGTGAAGCAATTTTAAATGTGTTCCAGAAATGAAGGGTTTCATTTATTCAATATTCAAATGTAAGGAATATTATTACTATACAACTATTGAACTATTTTACTCAGTTATGAAACATGATATTTTTCTACCTAAGTCTGGCCATTGGGTTAATTATCATATCACAAGCTTTAGAATGTGCTGTCTTATTTTGTCCTGTGCTTAATATAATGAATAATATTCCTTGCATTTGATATAGCAGCTTATCACATCTTCAGGATGTCTCAGTCACTGATTTGGGGCTGAACATCTATACTTAGTCATGTTATTTAAATAGAGGATTTTCAATATTAACATATAAATGGTTAAATTTGATTAACGTGTAATTGGTGGGTCTTAAAAGTTATTTCAGGTAGCACAATGGAATCTATGGTAGTTTTAAATATGGGTGTAATCTATGCATTATAAACAGAACAGAGTTAACAGTAAGACACTGCCCAAAAGACCTTATGTCCATCAGTTGAAACATTGCCCAGCAAGTGCTTATTTTCAGTGTAGGAAATTCCTGTGGCTTTGCAAAGTACTATTGCAGATATAATCTAATCTAATGCGGTTCACTGTCATAAGCAGGTTTCTCATAAGCAGGTTTCTCATTCTTTTTGCCCTTAACTGCTGCTGTGGCTCAATGGTCATTTTGTGGTCCTACACTACCTCATCTCTCTTATGTTTTATTTCTACCTGTCAAATCAGCATCTGTTATCTGACCCCTCCTCCAACACCTCATTGCTCATCTCCCCTTGCTGGAGCTCCCACCTGTTCACCATCTGCTTCAGTACCCTGCAACAGTACCCAGTCGGACATGTGAGACTCAACCTCTGCTCCCAAGACCTGCATCACAGCTATCATCAGCTCTCTCTCTCTCTCTCTCTCCACTGCTTACCCTCTTTCAAACTTGTAAAAAAGTAGTAATATTTTATGAGGCGTTTATTACACACATATTTTACTAAATTGTTACTCAGCCAATTCTGATTAGATAACCCTGTCTATCCCTCTGACCTTTCCTCCCCTATCTCAGCTACATCTGGTTTCTGGGCACGACCAGAAATACTCCTGTGGTCTGAACCTCCAACGACCCCAGGTCTCACTCAGCAATGGTGAAAACAGGCTGAGACACTGTCAAATTGGTGATTTTTTTCAGTACTTTTCTCAGTCCCATGAATCTTTTTGCTGGTTGCCATGCTATAGTTGGCAAAATGCTTGTAAATCATTTTGTTACATTCCATAACGGCAGGAGTTAATGTTGCCAAATATTCAGAATCACAGCATTTCAGATACCTGTGGAATATAAATCAACTGGTTGGTAAAATTACCAGCTATGATTGTATAAGTGTGTATAGTGGGACTTATTTGGAAAGAGTGCACGTCAAAATGTCATTACAGACAGACAAAGCTAAGGTTGGTAGATTTACTGATAGGCAGAATTTCACCCCTGTTCAATGCACACTGGGCATCTCAAATATATGTGACCTTAAAGAGAATGTCCAGCATATCAAAGTTGCTCTCAAGTTCAGGAACATTTTTATTTTACTTGTGGAGAAAAAAATTATTTTATTTAAAAATGGGCAGGTCAAATAAAAAGTTATCAAAAAAAAGACGAAACAAGATAAATGTAAAATCTTGCGAATGTTCTGGGTGGCAGCTCCTGATATCTCGGCTATGATATCACACACTGCATATCTGCACTTCCTCAAAGCATGGGCAAGGAAACTAGGTTCACTCGCTCTAATCAATGAACTTGCCTATTTATGGAACTGCAATAGAGGATATACATATGGCACATGCCGGAGACTTCAGAGGAAGAAGAAAAATAAGAAATTTGAATTAGCATTCAATGATAATATTGATAATGGTAACCAGAGGACACCGATTCAGGATAATTGGCAAAAGAACCAGAGGAGCAATGAGGAAAAACGTTTTTTACGCTGTGAATTGTTACGATCTGGAATGCACTGCAAGAAAGGGTGGTGGAAGCAGATTCAATAATAACTTTCAAAAGGGAATTGGATATTTACTTCAAAAGAAAAAAAATTGGAAGGCTATGGGGAAAGAGCTGGGGAGTAGGACTAATTGGATAGGTCTTTCAAGGAGCTGGCACAGGCAAGATGGGCCAAATGGCTCCTTCTGTGCTGTAGGATTCTATTATTTTATGTGAAAATGTGTACTTTCGAAGATCTTTGTGTTCTGATATTGTATATCTCTATATTACCAAGTGAATTTATACTCAGCCATCTGTTCTTTCAACTTCCAGCACACCCTGGGAACAGCCAGTTAATTATCATAATTATCATAAGATTGCTTATACAATACATGTTATGTGCACCATTAGTATGAATTAACATATCATACCTGGCATCTTTCACCCCATATTAACATACTCTCTTCTGCACATTAAAAAATCTTTCCTTCTTTTTTCACAGATGCAGCTTGAAGGTGTTATTGCCTCCAAGAAGTGAGTTGCATCAATCCTGCCTTGACTGATTAAATGTGAGGTTCCAGTTACTTCTTATTGCTTGTATTGCTTGACATGCACTATCAAGTTGCTGCAGTGTGCTAAGTCTCAACCCTTACAATTTCAATTTCCTGTTTGTTGTTTTTGTTACACACTAAAATGTTGTAAATCTTAATGTTGTGTATTAAAATTAAAAATATATCTGGTTGAATAAAATGGTGAGAATTGTTTTGGTTTAAAAATATAGTCAGATTAAAATATTACAAATGCCTACATTGGGGAAAGCTCATTCCTAGGCTCCAAAAATCAATTTGCTTAACAGCATTGTCACAGATTTCTGAAAAAAATGGAACGGTTGTTATTTCTCAATGGGTCAAAACAAAATAACAGCAAACTGCAGCAAAATAAAGAACAGGTTTATTTAAAAAAAAATTGCATTTGGCATAGCACCTCATCATGTCAAAAGGACATTTCAAAGAGCTTCACAGGATTTACTGTGAAGTGGAGTGACTATATTTGTAGGCACATCTGGCAGCACAATTGAGCACAGCAATGTCCCACACACAGCTGTGGAGTGAATGGAAATTCAATAAGATAGGGGTTTAGTGCATATACTCATCTTAACATACATGAGCCTTGCTCTCACTAAGTAGTGTAATGGTTAGCGAGTTCGCCTCACAAGTGAGAGGACCCGGGTCCAATTTCTGTGCAGGGCGAATCCTTAGGCAAGTTTCCTCAGTCCACACACCTCTGCTTACCTAGAGTATGTAGGAACTCGGCTGTTAGTCGATCGGCGGATCGCTTTCCTAGGGGTAATAATCCCTAAAAAAATGATTGTTTGTGGGCCACTGCTAGTGCAATTGGCTGCTGCATTTTGCCCACAAAATACACAGTCAATTTACTTTACAATATATTCTGTGAAGCACGTTGAGACATCTCAACAACATGATAAGGCTCTATATTAAATGCAAGGATTATTATCAAGTAGAGAATGACTGGGCCAGACTTTACATATTAATCCATGCATCTATCCACCACAACTCTGCTAATGGTACAAACACCAGTTGAGCCTCTTGAACCTCTACACATCAGTGAAGCACCAGGAGGTGAGGACAAACCATGACACCTGGAATCCGATTAGAATGACAGGTAGATACCAAGGTCAATGTGTCAGCTTTCAAGTAGTGATTCGTCACCACAAAGATATTCACATTATTGTGACTAACTTGTGCACACTGATGAATTTACGGATGAAACGATAAAAAGACACATGCCTGAGACACTTAATGCTCTGGGAAAACAAATAGTTTCTCTGAAGTTCATTGGGGAAGGATCGTAAACCAATATGGTGAATGTAAGGGAAACAAAAACCTCTGTGATACAAAGATTTTTTTTTGCCGGAGGGGAATGGGGGGGCATAATTGTCCATTTGGTCTTCAGGGCCTGAGAATTATAAATTGAATCGCAAATCTACAAAATGTGAGTAAAAGGCTTTTTTGAAGCTACTGTTTCAGGGACCAATATGCCAAATGAGCTAATGGAATCTCTTACTCAAACTTTTACCTTACTGGTTAGTTTGGAAAGAACCATCACTAACTTCCAATCTATGCTAAAGAATACCATTGCTTTTCAGAATGGGACCAGCAACTAAAAGTCATTCACCTCATGGCTGGTTTGGGACATTGCTGTGGGCAAATTGCCTGCTGTGTCTGCCTACAAATACACACTCACTAGTAATTACTGTAAAGTGCTTTGATACATTTTGATGTTATAGGTAATCAATGCAAAGATTTTTATTATTTAAGAGGCATATCCACACTTGATCACTATCAAATGACCTTTTGCTGGAAAGTGTGCCAATGTGTGTGTGCGTGCTTGCTTTCGTGAAAGATGAGGAGAGGACTGTCTGTAATGCCCCGCTGATCAAGTAGCCTGTCAACACTCAACACCTACGCTCACGCCTGAAGAATAACAATTAGGTGAGATGTTCTGTTGGTGCTTGAGGAGCTGGACCCCCTTATCTCTGATATAAATATTGCAACCTTGGTTTTCAAATGGGAAAATGCCATAAGTGGAGTCCTGTAGCTCAGTGGTTAGAGCACTCGTTTTGCAAGTGAGAGACCTGAGTTCAATTCCAGGCAGGGCGAAACCTTGGGCAAGTTTCCTTACTCCACACGCCTAATAATAATCCCTCCCAAACCAAAAACAATAATAAATTGGTCATTTTCAATCCATGACTGTTTGTGGGACATTGCTGTGCGCAATTGGCTGCCACGTTCGCCCACAAATATAGTCAATTCACTTTACAGTGTGTTCTGTGAAGCGCTTTGGGACGTCCTCCCGACGTGAAAAGCGCTATATCAAATGCAAGGATTATTATTATTATAAGGAGCTTGAGTGCAGTTTTAAGCAGATACAGTAGTCTATAACCTTTTTAGGCAATTGGAATTAATAATGACTTATAATTTTAATTGAGTAAGCTCTAAATTCATAATGTTATCTCCTCCGGTTGTTTATTAAATACAAAGAATTATCATCTCTTTCATATTTCCCACCAGCTCTTTCCTATTAACTTCATGTATAATCTACATCATCATTTCATAAATCATCAAGTCCAGACATTGTGCTACAGTATGGTATGTAAACTGTAAAACACCTATACCTCCCAGTGACCTAAGAAAGTTTCATTTTCTTACAACTATTAACCATTCAATACTGGATCTGTTTAGTGTAACATAGTTTCCACTCATTATCCCCATATTTATGCAGAAATAAAACACTGTGAAAGGGAACTGATACTGAATACTTCATGCTTATTAGAACTTGACGGCTGTTAAATTTTGTTATTTGCTCATAAAAATTACTTCAAAAGACATTCTTTCAAATAAATATTTTAGTGGTCTACTATTTATGTTTTTGTTTGCTTTACAGATTTATTTGATTTATTAAAATATTAAGGTCTCAATCGTTCCCACATGTCCACTTGACAAATGCAAATCTGGGCTAAGTAAATACTGATATTTTCTGCCTCACAAACATGTAGATACAGCGATTGTTTTTTTTCATGGAAGCAGGAGAGGCATTGGTGGTAGCACCTATCCAGATGGGTGCTGGGAATTGACTTTTGTTCCAAGGAATGCAAAGAAGTTGTGGGTCTTTGCACACATTTGGATCTATTTCAAGGACGTTGGTTTGATTGTTGGAAAATTGTTGGCCAGGGCATTGGAAGAATCTCCTTTCTCTTTTTAAATGGTGTCATGGGATCTTTGACATCCATATGAAGATCAGGCAGACAGGATCTCAACTGAACATCTCATTTGAAGGACAGCAGTGTTCCTAGCTAGTCACCAATTCAAAAGATAAAAAAATATATAGTTAATTAACCAAACTAGTTGCTCCTACCAGGGTCTCTGGTTATGATGGCAATATTTTGTTTCAACTAAAACATGTGCAGATCTGCAACATAAAAACTTCAAAGTACCTTTGACTGATGTTAAAATATTGGCAGGATTGCTAGGCTGTGACCTTTCAAGAATACAGGCATGTGATGATATACTAAAACTACTAAAATGTCCTTTTTTTGCGTGGTCACATAATCAAAGCAGCAAAGAAAAAAAATTGTGCTGATTTCTAAAAGTTTGAATTATTTTCGAAACACTTCCAACTTCAAAGATTTACGCCACACTTACAATGTGTCAGCAGTAAGCAGGTGAGAGAAGTGATCCCAGTGTTTCTTAGAATGATGCATAATATTATCTGATGAAAATGAATGTCACCATACCTTCATATTCAAAAAGAGCATGAAGTGCCTGTCAGCACGACCTAGATGTAATCACTGTTTTTGGATTACACAAACTATACATCAGAGATGCTGACAGGTTAATGTCTTCCCCACGACTTCAGTGACAACAGCAATGATAGAAAGCAGCAGCAGGAGCAGAAACGTATGGGCTTTCTAATCTCCTAAATCTTTTCGAGCAATCACCAAAAATAGATATGTGACAGTTCCAGAAGACATCTGCGCAAAATGTTCATGAAAACGAGAAAATAAATTTACTTCCCCGAGTGTGTCTGACACAACTGGGGAAACTTATTGCTTTTCTGCTAGATATGTTAGGGCTAAAATAAATTGAATAGGTAGATTTATAAGTCTTGGATTTCAGACACTACAATACCGCACAAGATGGTTGTGAAATTAGGCGATTTCTAAATTTGTATATTTTTGTCCGTAAAAATAATTAGTGATCCACAGAGAGGAATATCAATGTGAATTAATTATGACACAGGAGATTTCAGGCCTGCAATTTGCTTTGATTACAACCTGCTTAAGAGTTTTACACATGTAATATGCTATAGTACAGATCTTATGACTTTTTTGTTAGTTACTCTTCTATTTTCAATGGGGCATAAAGGTGGGGGATTCTTTACTAAGAAATCCCATTCAAATTCTCGCCGACCTGCAGGAATTTGCTCCGAGAGAATTCTCCTGATTACCAATTGTTGGAAGGAATCTCCATTTATGCCCCTTGATTCCTCAGTAAGCGATTCACAAATTTCACCAAAATAAAAGCATCAATAAATAAATTCACAGTGAGTATTACTTGCTGATTGTAACAAAGTTTACAATCTGACAGGTCAGGCATTTAGCACTGCCAAATGGTGACACAAGTGCACAGAATGGCTTAATTGGTATCGAAAGGTGTTTACTATGTGTTATGGCTCACATAGTTGAGTGGATAACAGTGACTATCACTCTATGTTTTGAAGAAAGTTGTGGATTCAGGCTCCACTTTGGACTTCAAACTCATAGTCCAGGCTGACACCCCAGTGCATAGTGCAACGGGAGTGCTGAATTGTTAGAAGTACCATAATTTGAATTAAACATTAATTCGAGGTTCCAACAACAACAACAACAGCTTGGATTTTATATAGCACCCTCCACGCCGGACGGCGTCTCAGAGCGCTTTACAGTAACGGATCCTGGGGCCGAGCCGAGGGAGGGGG